GATGAGCTGGCGTTTAAGGGATTTGCGCTTCGTTTTTTTCGTTTTTTCGCCAATGATGTGCCGCTCAATGTTGTAATAAACGGCCCCTCGTCGATTCTTTACCATAACGCCAGAAGAGGAAAATTCACTGCAACACCCAATTAAGTGGTATTCCCTTAAATGACTTGAACCCTGTTCATGTGAGAAATACCGGCAAAGTTACAGAATTTGGTTAAATCACGACATTTTCCCCTTTTGTTTGTGTTCGTGGCCGTCTAGAAGATGAGCGCATTTCGTTGCCAGAACACGAACTGACGCCTTTATCAGTAAGATCCATCAGAGAGCTTCTATAAATCACCATTTTAATAGCTGAATAGCTCTGATGGATAAGCATGCCACAAGAAACAGTATTTCTTTGTTCCTCGTTGAAGTGTGGAAATCAGAAAACCCGGAAAGATCAGCTCAGAAAATTGAGTGGCTAGGGCACATTCAACGGAGAACTAAATCAACAGTATGTCGTTTCATAGCTGCGGTCATGATAATTTGCGCGCGCGAAAAGACCGGGAAAAAGACAGGAACCTACCAGAAACAAGGCGAGACCGAAGCAGATTTGAGGACATCCGAAACCTGCAACAAAAGTGGAAGGAATTCAGGATACCGTACAACTTTGCAGCACTGATGCATATTGACCACAGTAACTTACATTCTTTTCCCTCACAGTCAAAACAGACCCATTACATGACAACCTTATGCATTTGTACTCACATTGTGGGCTCGGCAGTGACCACTGAAGTTCGCCGTACTATGAGGACGATGGTGATGATACCGTACACATGTATTTACGTGATTCCGGAACTAACAGACAGGACCATTGCTTCACCGTCAGAAACAGAACAAGTTTCTATTGGATTTGTTATACACAACTGGAAAAATATATTTCATATTTTAATATCACTTTGATATCCTGGGTGACCGAAGGTGGAATAACAATTATCTTTTGCGACAGCGAACTTACAAGGAAGGTAAAGGTTGCTCATACCGAACCTGCATACAAACCTCTAATCTTATTTTGCCAAGTATGAGATGTGAACTTTGGGTATGGGATTTTCCATTGAGAATGTGACTAGGATATCCAAAATGCAATTGGTATATGATTATGACCTCTTACCCTTGAAGCACAATATACAAAACCACGATCACGTTGAAACTCGTACTGCTATAGGGAGCGAAGTCGACCTTGGTCTTGGAAGATTATCAGCAGATAGATATCAGATATCAGCAAACAGATATCAAAGAATTACCTTTTCGGCCATTCGTAAACAAATCTCGAACTTAAGATGGTACGGCGCATTACCCTCCAAAATAATCGATTTTCCGAAACTGCTCTTGTAGACACGGTTGTAAAACCACTTTCTGATGTAATTATTTTCAAAATTTACACCGTATACGAGATTACGCCAAAAATCTTTCAAATGAGTTAATTATGCCGACAGCAAAATTACCGCATCTTTCTTAATCATCTTAACTGCAACCAAGTATGTTCAATGAACAACAAAGTGATAATTATCAAAGCAAAAATTTGTAAAACGAAATGATACGAGTAATGGCTTTACAACCGTATATATATACATATATACATATATATCGATTGGTTAGCAGGATAACGAATGGTCACGTTAAACTCGGGGTCAAACCCCGGAGACTATGGATGATATTGATGTCGAATTCATCTAATTTTCACCTACTAGCCCCAGTTCAATGTGACTGAAAATCTGCTCATTGTGCTCAAAAGAACAGAAAACATACTCTAAATGCGTAAAATGCGAGCTGGATAACGCAATAAAGTGCCGAGGAAGACAAAAGCACGATTCGTCTACGTGGAATTTATCTATTGCGCATTACGCACCACATCTTTTGATAAACAAAAACCTTTAGGGATACTTAAGGGAGTTTTCATGACACACATTTGTGAGATGAACAGTAGAACGGGTGAACCCCATAGTAGCAAAGAATTGCTGTTCAGTGATGGGAACCGGTAACCGTGGAGTGACGAACCACACAAGGTTCCGCTATGTTAGTCGTATGGCTGAACCGGATGCCAGCAAAGCTGTATACCACCAAATTTGGGTGGCAGTGTCGGGGTTCGAACATCGGACCGTAAGGTTCAAATCACTCTGGTGACAGCAGCTGAACCCCTAGACCACCACCACTACCACCACCACATTTTGTTAGCATACAGTTGAATTCAATAGTACTAAACAGCTAGTTTTCATTAGTTCGTCCACGGCGAAATGTTTAACAAGTTTTGAGATCTTTATTTACACCGCTTTAACGGCCTAGAGACAAATGCACCTATCCAAATCATAGATCCTGCCGCAGTGAGCATTAAGCATAGTTTCACCTTGTTGCAGGTTCTAAAAGCCAGTGAAATATATATACCTAGTTTAAGATCGCGATAATCGGGCCTTCGGGTACGTGTTTGCAGCTGCAATAAGGACCCCGCGAAACCCTCCTTGCTATCCAAAGTCTGGCGGGGTATTCTGCTAGCATCGGTACATATTATCTAACACCATAAACCGAATATAAAAGACGTTACGCCAATCAGCCCCGAAACGTGATTAGCAGAACTGGAATACACGAATAACAGTTTGAGCAGTAAAATATACTTCCAGAATAAATTGATCGTATTCCATGCAATCATTTTACGCATCTTTGTTCATGTTACCTATCATTTTATTCTCTTCCATCTGCTTTTAACAAGTTGCTTTCTCGCTCCGTTGTAATTTGTGAACCATGCGGAAATCAAACTTATCAGGGCGCATAAAGCCTTCTGCGACTGGACTCTATCAATGTCTACGAAATGTGGCTTTTGAGAATCGATGATATTCCCAAAATGGAGACTGGGAATCACAGGTGTCTACACAAAGTACTGGAGATACTGGAGATACGCTGTGAGCTCAAAAGTTTGATTGTAGAGTCAGAAAATGTTATTTATGATTTTTTCTTGATTAACTCCACCCCAAAGGATTAGATAGAAATCAATGAAGACGGATTGTTCTGCGCGAATCTCAACACCGGACCACACACTGGAGACCAGTAACAAGAAAACAGGGAATCTTAAAAACCATTCAAGTCTGCCCGATGATAAGCGTATTATTGCTTTGGTCAACTACGAAACTCTCGACCAGCCACGGTTGGTGGTTGTGATGGAATTCGAACAGTGAGCCCTGGATAGGCAGCATGATTTGATTTACTCGGTCGATTGAATCTGAAAAAAAATGTACGCAATAATCTCTACCTCATCGGTTTTGTCATTCCAGCTATCTTCAACAGGCTCGGTCCGTTTGTCATAAGGCTCTCAAATTGCAGACGACGCACTTTATCAAACTTGGACGCCGGGTAATAACTCCAACTATTGAACTATTGATTGAGAACGCACACAGAGGTGTAGCCCGTAACCAGTTGCTAGTTAGACATAGTGGTTAACTTGTGAACGTTTTATCGTCAATCAAAGTGATAATTTTGGTTTAATATATTGTCTTCAATTGACAACCTATGCAGTTTGAGTTATAATTTATCTGCCTCCAGACGTTAAACCCAACTAAGACTCGTTATAGAGACTGGTTGATTCTTTGAGGCAGTGCATCAGAACTTCAATGAAAGCTTCGCCCGGGCTGACAGTGAAACGTGCGACACAAACAAGTAACTATCAGCGATTACTGAACCACATCCATTATGAGAAAGATGAGAAAGGCAACTTACTGGGTAAAGTATACAACGGATGATTGACAAAATAGCTGACAAATAACGCGAATCCAAAGTAGTAGCCGCAGTTCCGAAACACATTGAACAGTGGCATGGTCGCATGTGAGAACCGGTGCACAAACAACGTCTCCAAAATTCGTTTCGTATAGTGCCCGCACCAGCACAAACAGGCAAGTCGTCGGAGTCCTATATGTGTCTGAACCGGTTCAAAGAACGGATTTTGTAATTCTGGTTGTCGAAGGGCCCACATGGTAAAATAGATCACCAACGGCCCACTGTACTCAGCTAAGAACACAGTGCGCCAGCCAATCTGTGGTCCCAAGTCTCGCAGATACAATGTAACCTTGCCTCCGTCGGCCACTTCGGACAGATCTTCTAAACGACGATCATCCGCGAGACCCTTACCACCTGTGTTTAAAGGGTTGAGAGGAAGACAAGTGTAAACAATAGGTACTGATAGAAAACTTCACCGCAAACGGCCAAAAAACAAACGATTCTCAGTCGACCATTGTTATCAATAACAACATTGTAGTGCAGTGCATATTTCGCAACTGCTGCTAGAAGTAAATAAGAAAGACCCAAAAGAATTATATTTGTAATATACAGTATACGATGAGTCCCGTTCATCGATTTCACCAATATAGAAGGAAGACAAATGTCACGAGTTGTTAACAATTTTTAAAATCCCAATCGCTGACTTGAAACAAAAAGGCACATATATGTACATGGAGTTGTCCAATTATGGTGAATGAACGTGTACAAGCACACAAAGATTACTGAATATAGAATGTTTACCCAGAAAGGTTGATAGATATTCACAGTAGACCATTCCCAAAAAGTATCTCAACCGAAAACGCTAGCGATAAGGCCATCTACTTATAACTTGCGTTAAAAGGTGACCAAATTTACAATGATGTGCGCCATAAGTTAAGGTCACCTCTAGACCTTAAAGTCCTAGCTGTTCAACTCAAACTCGTTGCTTCTATTCGTGGAATTGATCTGGACAAACATAAATGTGGCCGTCAAACCAGATCTGTACCACACACTGTATACCAGTTGACCTGCAGTTGCGGCGACGCATACACAGGCAGAACAAAACATCAGCTCTCACAACAGATGGAGAAACACATTCGAGTTTGGTGAAATCGATGATGCAACCAACAACTGATGGTTAAGTGATCAAATGAAATCCAGGACTATCCGTTGCAAAGCATCTCATGACAACAGGACACAGCTGACCATAATCTGTCTTTCAAACCACTATCACGTGGTCGCAAGGTTTAACTTTTAGCAATTAGTGAAGCATTAATTCTTCGAATACATTACCCGGCATTATACCCAAAAAGATTTCTGATGCAGTCAATTCACCTACCACGGAGTTGACCTTTTACTTCTATATTTAGTAATTTTACATGCATGCTCTTGTTTATTCACCATAATTGAACGTAACGTGTTATATATGCGCCTGATTGTTTCAAGTCATCGATTGAGAAGATTTTAAAAATGTTAACATCTGGCATTTGCCATCTTTCTGTATTGATGATACATCATATGCCCTACAGAATATTATAATGTGCTAAGCAATCTAAAATCCCAGCAGAAAACATTCGACATGAACGAAAACGCCTTTTCTGGGTCATAAGCGTTTTCAAATTATTGTGGATATGGCCACCTGTTAGTCATTTTCTGAAAATACACAAATAGAGGCAAAGTGGAACTATGTTTGGGACGTTTTATTATCGAATAAGCCAGTATTATTAGACGCAGGTGCTGCGGTCAACGAAGCAATTTATCTCTGAATATTCCCAAATCCACCACGATAATCTGTTTTTAGGACCTCCGGTTTGGGAGCTACCTATTTGCAGCGGAGACAGTTCTACTAAAGTTGGGAGAGAAGTCTGTATAGAGCTTCAATCAGACAGATGAGTTAACATTTAACACACAGATGATCTGGAAAACCCTTGGCTTAAATTCCAAAGCAGAGGTACACACTGAACGCG